CTAGCCAATATACATATATATACTATGTGTATATTATATATCTATCGGCTATTATTTGGATGGGCGGCTATTTATGTCAATTTTCCCTTTGTTTTATTAAAGACATGAAGGCTACTGATGTAACACTTTTTTCTTACATTTTTGTTCTTATACAATATATCATGTATACTCATGTTTAATGTCCCTTTTTTTTTTCTATGGTTAATTATTGTGGGAGATTTTTGTCTTTTTGACTCTTTTGGTCAAGGCCCATTGAGCCCAAATATATGCAATATATTTTGGTTTTTAGTTTTTTTCTTTTAAAGACCAATTTATTTATTAGTACTACCAATAAATTTGTGTAAAATTCACAAATAACCATGCTATTGAAAGATAATTATCGTCATGGAATTTTATTTGTAGAATTTGAAACTCATTTACCTTTTTGAGCATTTGGTGCTCATAGTCCACTAGCATGACTAATTGGATTTGCATCGTAAAATGTCTAATATAATATGGTGAATTTTAGTGCTCCTTATCAAAGAAGACGTCATTTTCAAGACTCAAACTCGAAATCATTAATTAAGATTTAAGAGTTAAGGACATTTAACTTTTATCATTTCACAAGTCTGCTAATGCAAGTGAACCTTTTATCCAAAATAACTTAAATTATCATATTGGGTTTTCTAGCTAGACAAACATACGTGAAGAAATGTAACAATTTTGTCAGCAAATATAACCTCCATTTGTTATTGTCCTATAAACAGTGGCAAAATCAAGATTTTCACAAATAAGATTCAAAATATAAAATAAGTAAACACATGAAAAAATCAACAGAAATTCAACATTTACCGTATATACATAAAAAAGAATGAGATTAAGATAAACTCATTTGACCCTACTTGACTTCGCCCCGGCCTACAAAGGGGGCAAGATGTTAGGTAACACAAAATCAACCCAAATGGTGTGAAGGTTCCTAAAAAAGCAAAACTCATATATATATATATATATATGGAGTTTTACACCTATTTTAATTTATTTTTGGAAGTGTGAGTTTTGTGCTTTGTGTATGTCTTTTTTCTCTCTTCTTTTCATTGAACTTTGTGGGCTTTTACCTTCCTTCCTTCCTTCTTTGACTCTTATAAATTCCTACTTTCATTTCAAAAAAGAATTACACTTTCATCAAATTAATACCATAACAATGGAAATAAAAAAATTCATCCTTACTCTTCTACTCATTTGCTTCACTTTTTTCATGTTATTTCCATTTTCATATGCTGCTCCATTGTTAGGTAATTCTTTTTTCTATGTGACCTATAGGTTACCGTTCGAGTTGTGGAAGTTTAATCACTAATGCTTGCATTAGGGTAGACTGTTTACGTCACATTCCTTGGAGTGTAACATGTGACCCTTTCACGAACTCTATTAATACAAGATAATTTGTGCACCGAGCTGTCATTTGCCCTTTTTTTTCTATCCATTGAATATTTTTTTCCCTTTTGCTTATATATCATTGCTAACTTCATTGTATTGTAATTTTGACAGATCATGAAGGGAAAATGACTCTCCCTTCAAGTCCTAGGAAGCTCAAGTTCAATGAACATCCAAATGTAATGAGTTTTTTTTTCATATATAAAAATAATTTTTTTTAAAACTTATTTATAGTATGTATTTTCCTTTTAATATTTTCCAGCATATAGTATGTATTTTTTTTCTTCATGAAAATGACATGTTATCATTTGTGTGAAGCAGGTGAAAAGCAATGGAAATCAAATGAATTTGGTACCATTGAACACTGCACAATTAACAGGTACATGTATATAATTTAGTAATTTTATTATAAAAATATTAACTGGTTTCATATGCATGACATATATGTGTATGTATATATATATATATAAGATAAATAAAAGTTTAATTTTTCTAAGAATCCTCCTACTTTGACTAATTAACTAACAAACCTTCCATTGATATGCTGATAATTCCATAATTTCATGTCTAGTAGTCTTTTCACTTAATATAATATTTCCTTCGTCTTATAATACTTTTCACATTTTATTTCATCTCAAGAATCAAATTACATAATTTTTCATCAATAGTTTAAGATATATTTTTTCATCATATTAATATAAAAAGAATTACAATGTATAATACTTCCTTAGATAGTTCTGAATATCCAAATCTTAATCTAATTTAATTTAACTTAAAAAATTAATTAAATTTACTTTCTGAAAATAAAATACAGTAACAACTATTTTGGAACAGAAAAAACATTATTAATATATGGTGTAGAAATCTTAAAATACTCAACTTATGTTTCAATTTGTTTACACTTTGACCAACTTAATTACAACCTACTATGTCTTTTAATTAAGGGAAAAATGATAAATATACCTCTGAACTATCGTAAATGGTATGCAGTTATCCTCCGTCATACTTTTGGGACATTGGTGCCCCTGCCATCCAAAAACTAGAGCATATATGCCCTTCACTCTAACGGAAGACTAAATAGGGACACATGGTACAATCTTATCCGTCGATCCAATGTTTAATAAATGTTGGGTCGGTGGATAAGATTATGACACATGTATGTCCTTTAGTATAAATAGTATATATGCTCTAGTTTTTGGACGGCAGGGGCACCAATGTCCCAAAAGTATGACGGAGGATAACTGCATACCATTTACGATAGTTCAGAGGTATATTTATCTTTTTTTCCTTTAATTAATATTATTTTGCATGCCCCTTAAAATAGATATTAGTAATTATTTTTACATATATTCGATCCCTTACTTATGTATACATATATCGTCTCACTTAATTAACACTAACAATAATATGTTACATAATAATGATCAATGACCTTTTATTTATCTAGAACTTGAAATAATTCAAATTTATTTTATCAAAACGACTAATATTTTGCGCGATATGATCGCACATGTGTCTAGGTAAAGAACATGAGGGAGAAGTGATACATGCAAGAAAAGGGACAAGGCAAGAGTGGGTTGAAGGGAAAGACACTTCTGATTTCTTCACAATGGACTATCATTGGGTTAGACGACGACGCCCCATACATAACAAGTCCATTCGCCCATAAAATAACAATCTCAAACTAGTCAGAATCGACTTTTTAGTTTGTATGAATCCTCAATATAGTATCATATAGTAATTCCCGATATCAAGTATAAAAATGTAGTAGGTTTTTGGGAATACAATTTTGACGTGTGTTACATTTTGTTGTAATTAATTAAGAGTTTAATGAGGATTATGTCGTGTTGTAGCTTTGTTTATGGCCGACATTAAACCCTAATTTTTGGTATTAACAAGAAAAAGTTTTGAGTTTAGTTCCAAGGGGACAAATTTTATGTTTATATTTATATAGTATATTTTATTTAATGTAGGCAATTTATAAATTGTAGTCAAATTAGTTTTCTCAATCCCCAATAAAATATATATTGAGATTTGGTGTCACACACAACAAGTTATTTTTTTAATATATAGTTTTTCTCGAAAGACAAATTCTCCGTACATGAGGAGCATGAATGTAGTATTTGGCCATGAGGGATGTTTAACTAATCCCTTGAAATTTGCAAATATGTCCACTTTTTGATATTTTCAAGTACTAAGTTTTCGTATGGAAAAGGTCCAAAATTTTTATTGAATTATGAGAAATGAGATAATCGAGTTAAATCTATCTTTATCGTTAGGGTAGGTTTATCCTTGTTGACTAATGGTAGAAGCTTAGTCTCTAATGGTAATGTTTAACACTCCTTGATATCATGTGTTCAATCGCAAGAGTTTTTTTTACAAAGGACAAAACGGTTGCCTTGTCGCCGTGAATGGCTAGTCCAAATTTGTCATTGAATTATGAGAAATAGAATAATTGGGTTGAATCTATCTTTATCGTTATAAAAATAAGTTAGATTTTTCCTTATTGACTAATGGCATAAGCTTAGTCTCTAATGATAATGTTTAGCACTCGATGATGCAACATATTTAACATATGAGTCTTTTCTACAAAGGACAAACGATCGCACTGACTATGCGAATCATGATTGATCCAAATTTTCTATGAACTTTAAATAACAAGGTAAATGTTTTAGTAATAACACCATCATCTTTATTTTTCTTTTGTTTGCTTGCTTGGAGGATAATAGGGTGTGCACTTCTAGCAATTTAATCCCTATTAAAATTTGATGCACTAAGTTCTAATAGCAATATAAGTACTTAATAATAATTGACACTTTTATTTACGTCAATGAATTAAGATACGTCTAATTTAGATATTAAAAAAATAGACGGTGAATAAAAAATTAAGATGATAAGTTTCAAGATCTACTAATCCATGATTTTGCGCCTATCCTTTCCCCATCTCCCCTTCATTTTAATACTTCTATCAAGAAACAATTATCAGTTTATGTGATAGTTTCTTTTATTTACATCTATATAATTATATTACATCATTATAAATTTTATTCTCTTTTGTTTGTCATATGAATTTAGAATATAGATAAACAAAGTTGCAATTCTAGTGACATAAAGTTGGTGTGGTGTAGTGGTTATCACGTCAGTCTTACACACTGAAGGTCCCCAGTTCGATCCTGGGCATCAACATTTTATCAAGATTACTTTTTTGTTTCAACGGAAATGAACGTACGTTCTCAACGACTTTTTATTTGAGACTTTTGGTTAAGAATAAAGGAATCTCAACAATTCCGTCACAATTCATGTCGCTACTATCGTATTATATTTTAGGAAGATTCATGACTATAAACTTTCATATTCAAATGTAACAATTTGTTGAAGTTTCAAACTCTATTAATAATTCATTAGATTGAAACTTGTATCACTTTCAAAATTCAAGTGCAAAAATTTTAAATTTCATAAGCAATTCATCGATTTCAACTCTCTGTCAATGCAAACTTTAAGAACGATTGATGAAATTCAAATCGATAAATATTCTTAGAATTTTCTCCGCACTTTATAGTTAAAAATATTATTTATGCATTAAAAATAACTAAACATTAAATAGTTTCCCAAATTGAAACACTCCAAAACTACAAGGACCAACTTGACTTTTTCACTCTTTACCTCCACCCTACCATCGCCGCCGGCGAATCCCGTTCGCCGGAATCACACCTATCCTTCGCCATTAACAATGGCTTCCTCAGCTTTCATCTCAATCAAAAGGACCAAAATACCCTTTTCTCTAAACTCATTCTCCATCACAAAATTTACCCTTTTCTCCACACTAATCAAGAACCATCACCAAAAAATTTCACCTCAAATTACTTCTCCACCAGTGCCAAAAAAGCTTCCTTTTACTGTTTCTGCACATGGGGTTACGTGGAATGATCCTTACCATTGGATGCGCAAAACCAACGACCCTGATTTCATCAACTATCTTCAGCAAGAAAATTTATATGCTCAGTCTTTTATGAAGGATACTGAGGAAATGCAAAAGAGTTTGTTTTCTGAGATGATTAGTAGAATGCCTTCCAAGATTTCTACTCCACCTGAATTATGGGGTCCTTGGTTTGTCTAAAAACTCAATTTTTCAACTTTTTTATATGCTTTCATTGTATGAAAATGTGGGAAAATGATTGATTCAATAGTGTTTTAAATATAAGTTTGAAATGTTAAAGAATGAGGTAGTTTATATGAAAATATGATTTGAGAGGAAAAGTTGGTAATTTTAAATTGAGTTAATACATAAACAGACACTCAAACTTGACGTGATAATTAAGCATTTCAATTTTGAGTATGCATATTTAGACGCATCAACTCGCCTCCGTTGTGTTAGTTAAACATTCCAACTTACAAAATGATCAACTAGACATGTTCAATGTTTATGTGTCAAGTTAGCGTCGGGAGTCCAAGAGATACAATGGGGATGAGTTGGAGTGTTTAAGTTGTCAGTTGAGACCAAGTTAAGGTGTTTAGATGTGTACTCTCAAAGTTGGAGTGCTTACTTGTAAGCTGATGCTAAGTTTGAATGTTTGTTTATGTATTATGCATTTTATATTCCCATGTATCAAACGTTGTTGTTCACTTTTGTTTAGTTCGCGTAAAAATGATCTCTTTCATATGTTCCTTGCACGAATACTAAAGAATTCAGGCTGTCGACTTTTCATTTTTCTATAAGTCGAACTAAGTCATTCTATTTGAATTAGAGAAGACGAGTCATAAATTTAGTAAAAAAGAAACCACTTTAATCAAAATGATACAAATCAACTATTATTTTTCTATATGAAGTAGATTTAAGTCCATGTTAAGCCTATTACATCATGTACAATCTGCATTAAGTCTGCAAATACTTAATGATTGAGTTATGCAATAGAAATAGCCTAATCAGATTAAGAATTAGTGTAACTGTTGTGTGAACTAAGGAGTTGTTAAAATAATGTCTTGAAGTATGTACCATATGTTCTGAAGAATTAATAAGGGTATTTTGTGAAATGATCTAAATGCTACAGGCTGCATTTGGTTTAGTGGATGCTTTGGTATGAACATTGATTCTAAATTCTGTTCGAGAATCTACTTGCTACGAAATTCTTTCTTTGTTGGTTGACTATCGGTCTGTTTTTTGGGTTGTTAACAGGTTATACTACCAGTACATTCCAGAAGGGAAGGAGTTTCCAGTATTATGTAGGAAACTGGCTGCTGAGAGCAAAGGTTGGATGAAGACTGTATCAAGTTATGTGATTGGCGTTGCTGGGAAGGAACAAATACTGCTTGACTGGAATGAAATTGCAGAAAGATATGGTATATCATTTTCATATTATTCTTTTAACAACCACTTTTTGCTCATCTTGTTTCTTTTCCAAGCACTTATAATCAATTTTCTATCCTTGTGTATTGGTTTAAGGACTGAATCCACTCGGGAAAAATATCCATAGCAGCATATTGAGGTTAGCAGGTCAATGAAGTGTTAAAATTTAAGAGAAAAGGAGGAGAATATTCTTATAGGCTTCATGATATGCATGCAAATCATTGGCCATTGCTTTAGGTGTTGTTAGTTTTAAAGATAGTGTTTCCATTATGTTTTGATTTGTTCTTGTTTTTTGTAGGATATGTGCATGTGGGTACATGTAGAGTGTCCCCAGACCACAATTATCTTGCTTACACAATTGATGTTACTGGTAGTGAGCAGTTTGTGCTTCAGATTAAGGACCTCCGAAATGACTGTGTTCTGCCAACCCTGGGAGTTGAAGGGGTTGTCAGTGTGGAATGGGCTCAAGATTCTTGTACTTTCTTCTATACATTATCCGACCAGAACCAACGCCCTTACAGGCAATTCTCTATACTATGATTAGTTGATTACTACTTTAAATTGGATATTCGGATGTGTTATTACTTAAACATTATGTGGCCAGGGTACATTGCATAAAACTGGGATCAGATTCTGTTCATAATGTCCCATTGTTTGTAGAAAATGATTCCAGTTTCTGTGTGGATATAGCAAGTACAAAAGATGGAAAGTTTATTACTGTGAATTCTAATTCAAGAACTTCATCTGAGGCAAGAAATTTACCCCTATCACGGCATAGATACTTCTTTGTATTGGTGAGGATGTTTTCTTAGTTTTGCTCATTGTCTTATTGCAGGTTTATGTCATCAATGCAACCAATTTGCAGACTGGAATTCAAAGATTTTGTAAGCGTGTGTCTGGTGTGCAATACTTTCTTGAACATCATCATGGCTTTTTCTATGTTCTCACTAATTCTCCTAATGCTGGTGAGGAATCACCTTTGAGTGGAGAGTATTATTTGGCTAGATGCCCTGTTGAGAACTTGCAGTCAACTTGTTTGCAGGTATGTCTTCTTCCATCATATATTGATTCTAGAAGGGGCTACCGCTGCTGATAAAACATTTATACACGCATGAATATACAGCTTTCAAAGTGTTCTCCAAAAGCATTCTATCTAGTGGATACTTTGACATTTCTTTCACATGGATTTAAGGCTGATGAAGGATTTGTAGTTTTGCTGTGTACCTCATTCCAGCTAGTCGTTTTGGTTGTAATTTGAGGCTACATGCCCGTTATCTGCCTGCATAATTATGATATGTTGGTTATTTGGATCCTAAACTTTTCTACCTGGGCAAGTGCAAAATTGAGTTATATGAACACATGTTGATTCACGAGTTTTTGGTCTTTAATCATCTGCAAGCTTTCTCTGCAGAATATTATAGAACCCAGCGAGGACATTTTCATCCAAGATATGGACATGTTTAATGAACATCTGGTGCTTTTTCTCAACAAAGAGGGTTCCTCATCGATATGCTCTGTAGATATGCGAACGATCATCAATTGTGAGGTATAATTTAAAACTTATGTCACTTTTTTTTTTAATTTTGAAACTATTTTGTCACCCTTAATTAAAATTCCCTTGTTTCTTAATGTCTACGTGTTGTGCAGGAACAAATGAAGATTGATGGACTTAACCCATGGTTCTTTCCTCTTCCCTCTGATATGTGTACAATAGCTCCAGGGTCAAATCATGATTTCACACGATCTGTATACCGCGCTGTTGTTTCTTCCCCAGTGGTAATGCTTGTCAACTTTTTTTCCTTCCCAGTGGTAATATTGTTAATAGTCTTCAAATGCTCTGCATCCTGTTGGTTGTCATATTTTTGCTTTTCAACTTATTCTTGTATTCGACTAATCAACGTTATTGATTGATAAGCTTGTACCCCTATATTCCATGGAAAATTTAGCGCAGATCTCTGTTATATAGTCTTAATATCTCAAATGCTAATCATGATGTATCTTATGAATATTCAGCTTGTTTCCCTATATAAATACTTCTTTTACTAAGTTGTTCTTTTCTTTGAAAAAGAACCCAACAATTACGCCTCAAGCCTAAACTAGTTGGGTTAAATAAAGCATCATGAAAATTTTGATAATTCCATCAGAAATACACCTTTCCTCCCTATTCCTGTCATAGTTAAAGACTTCTCTACCTACCGTAGCAGCCTAGCAGGTGTCTACCTGTACGGCCAAATAACATTATATGCTTCTCAGTGTTTCTCTTTTGAAATGTAGATGCCTGATGTTATTGTTGACTATGATATGTCTAGAAGAACGTTCTCTGTCATTCATCAAGAAGAAGTAATTAACGTTTCCCACAATACAAAATACCACTCTAACAATGGAGAGAGAAGCAGAAATGAGTTTCTGGGCACCCCTTTAAAGAAGGAACACAAAATTCAGAATAATGGAGTCCACAGATGGAGTGACTTTGCTGAAATTTATTCCTGTCAAGAAAAAGAAGTGATATCGCATGATGGTGAAAGGATTCCTTTAACTATTTTATTCTCTCGTAAAGCACATAAGAAGGGTCAGTCTCCTGGGCTTCTACATGGATATGGAGCATATGGAGAAGTGCTAGATAAAAGCTGGTGTGTTGACCGCCTGAGCTTACTTGATCGTGGTTGGCTGATTGCATTTGCTGATGTAAGGTACAGCTCTCTTTTATTGTAAGTTGGATTGTGATATTTGGCAATGCTCAAAAAGCTTTTATCCGAGCATAGTTTGGCCACTGGTTGGGGGGATTTGCTTGTCGAGAAACTGCTAACTCAGTCACTCAGAACTCCTTATGCTTCATCCTCCC